TAAAATGTCATGTACTTGAACATGACACATCTTAAAAAGGCACATGCACTCCTCAGGTAGACCAAGCGTCTGGAAGGACCAGCACATGTTAAGAGGATCTAACGAGAAAATAGGATTTGCCATAGAAATTACCTTACTCTGTTAACTTTGGACAATGTTTCATCGACTAAGACTTGCCTTTCCCTTTAGAGAAAAGAATTTGTGAGAGAAAAAAGAAACTCAGCTAGAAAAGGGTAAAAGAATCAAACCGTTCACTCTGACCCAATATTTTTCTTTTTCTTTTTTAAACTTTTGGGGCATTCCTTTTTCAAAGTAATTTCAATTTATTCCAGATTTCATTTTCCTTTCTGTGGATTTAAGATAGCAAACAAAGTCTTAATAAAGTGTTACTGTTTGCCTTGATGGTTTTATCTATGTAATGGTTTTATCTATATAATGATACCAAGAGGCTGAATTTTATGAAGAGGAATTTTCATTATCTGATGAATATGTGTTGACTATTGCATGTGCCTAACATTGTGCTACAGAATGGGAAGAATACAGAAGTAGTGTACTTCATTCAGTACTGTTCCCTGCACTGGAAAAATGAATGACTTCCTCCTTCCTCTAGGCATTAATGGTTTCTTTAATATCTCAACACATTCTTGGATCAGGAAGCTTGGGATATGCTATTTATTTATTTATTTATTTATTTTTAATGATTTTATTTATTTATTTGAGAGAGAGAGAGAGAGAGAGAGAGCATGAGAGGAGAGAGAGATTAGCGGGAGAAGCAGACTCCCTGCTGAGCAGGGAGTCCGATGCGGGACTCAATCCCAGGACTCCAGCATCGTGACCTGAGCCGAAGGCAGTTGCCCAACGAACTGAGCCACCTAGGTGCCCGGGATATGCTATTTATGAAGAAAGGATTACTCTTGTTTTTCTCCACTTTGGGGCTTTAATATGTTTGGAAAACAAGTTTATTCCTGTGTCTAGTATAATTTTTCTTGAAGATTGAACCTCTTTTTTTTTTTTTTTTTAATTTCCCTGGGTTGCTTTTGATTGCAGCAAATTTTCCTAAGCCCAAGAATTATGATGTGCAATCTTAGTTGCCAGGTAGACTACTCTTCTCCAACTGAATTATATGAGCATATGGGATGGGATGGATTCCACACCAGCCCAGTTCATGAATTCAGTTAATGTGGATAGCAACTTTGGAAAAAAGTCTAATTTTACATTTACTCTTGAGCTTGGTGAAATCATTTCTTTTTCTTTCTCTTTTTTTGTTTCTTTGGTGTAAGGGAACACAGAGCAGTGGTCATTACAGCACAGACACCAGAACTAGAACTGTTAGGTCCAAAGCTTGGCTGTGCATGTTTGCTGTTTGATCTTGGGCAAGTTACTGAACTGCTCTGTGTCTCAGGTTCTTTGTGTGTGAAGTGTTCATAATAATGACATCTATCTATAGGGTTTTTGTGGAAGTCAAATGACTAGAAGTTGGCCAAGTGCTTAGAGTGGCACATGCCATTTATGTGCCCATGAGTATTTTTCATCTTTGTACCATCTGTTTTGATTCTTAGAAAAGGCTAGGGCTGGTGCTGGGGATGTAGGGTGTTCATTGGTCTTAATGGTTTCTTGTCAATGGCTGCCTGGTTCTTAACAATATATATATATTAGGGTGGGGGGTGTGGAGAGGGAGAGAGAGAGGGAGAGAGAGAGAGGGAGGAGAGCCAGAGGTAGAGAGAGAATCTTAAGCAAGCCCCACTCCCAGCATGTAGCCAGATGCAAGGCTCGATCTCACAACCCTGAGATCATGACCTGAGATGAAATCAAGAGCTGGATGCTTAACTGAGCCACCCACGCACCCCTTACTTAACAAAAGATTTTTTATTTCAGTGTGGATTATGATGTTTTCCTCCTTGGCTCTTACTAGCGGGAAAATATTTTAAAGTTCTGAAAGTTATTCTTTGCAAAATTACCTCTAGGTTAAAACTGGATGGATTGGATATGGATGTTTAGAGAACATTTGTTGAAAAACAACTTTCAATTTGCTAAAAAATAGATTTTTTATTTTCCTCCACAAACTGTTTGTTTAGCTCCAGTGTATGAAATCCCTCTCCCTGCTTTTTTGGACTTCAAATTATGAAACTGTAAGGTGTAGACAGCTTTGGTGGGGTTAGGAATAAAGGCTACTTATTTAAAGCAAAACAAAACAAATACAAGGCATACAGATCAATTGAAATCAGGGGCACCTGCAATTGTTATCAGACCTGACCCAGAGCTTTTCACTAGTAATTTGCTTTTAAATAGCACATACTCCCTTTGTAATAAAATGAATGACAGGCGTCTGACACCAGTGGAGCATTTTGCTTGATTGCTGGGAGGCCACCCAGCAATGATGAAGCATTGGTTTGTTTTTTCTGGAGAGGTATTTCCAAACAATAGTCACTTGGGAGTTATAACAGGCGTGGAAGGGAATATTGAAAAGGTGAATTTGACAGATGAATTATCATGGATCTGTTGATAAATTGAGTAAATCCAGTTTGATATATTACTATAGATAATTGAATATTTGGGAGATGAAATGTGAAAAAAACACTAACGAGGAAGAGTTAATTGAAAAATTTCCCACATCAACTTTATTTTTTTATGTGTTTTATGTAATTGGCTTTGAAGTAATGTAAAAAATGACTTTTGGGTATCAATTTTGTGTTCTTTTTATGATGTGTTTAACTTCGTATTTTAGGAAAAATAAAATTTGACTTGTAATAAAAGTTGCTTAAGAATTGTATATATTTTATAACAGGCAATAGATTGTTTTGAGAAGTTATTTTCTTCTCTCTACTCAGTTTCTAAGTTTATGCTTTTCTATTTTTCATAGCAATATGAAACTTTTTGTAAGTAGACTGACCTTTAGATTGTTACAGTTTTTCAACCAGAAATTATTTGATACTAAGGGAGACAAATGTACTGAACTTACAAATGTATTATGTTGGATTACTAACAATAGACCTAATTGATAAAAGTGATTTAATATATGTTGTGTTAATAGCTAAACCTCCAAAGCCCCTAATCTCCCATGGAAATATTGCTTTGTAGAACAAAATCCAATGAGAAGTTCTGGGATTCCAGAGTGAATTTGTACATTCCTTAGGGGCATTTTTGCAAGGGAGGTTGTTGTGTTTTGAAGGTAGTTGATAAGAGACCTGCACCACCAACCCCAGACCTGCACCACCAACCACCATCATGCATTAGTCTCTACAAGGTATTTGGGTGTATGTATTCCTGTACCACTCGGTACCACCATTTAGCCACGGGAAGTTTCTGACCATTTGCAGCATACATTATAAATCAGGATGTCACTACCAGACAATCAGATTTGAACATTCCATGAACAAAGGAGCCTATATCCCCTAGGAATAGATCACTTAACTGTGTTTATGTCATGCTGTTGATATGCCTGCATTTACACAAGTCAGGATAGCACATTGTTTATTTATTTTAGGAGTAGATAATTGATCTATTTACCTAATTTTGGGTTAATTAGCCAATAACTGAAATAGGTAATTTAGCACGATTGCTTAAAATACATGGGGGAAAATAAGTGTATTCTTCCAACCCCCAAATGACTCCTCTACCACCTTGGGCTTGTGAAAGAATGATTTTGAGTCTTCTTCAAGTTGGGCTGATGTCAGCTGCTCTCTTTAAAACAATTTCCTAGTTGGCACATAATACATGGGGAAGTCGCTGGTAAATATTTGGGGAAACTCAGAGGACTTCCAACTCCCGAATTAGTCCCCTGGGGGACCTGGGAAAATTGCTGGATATATTGGTTGAATGAAATAAATGTATTTAAGTTAGGTTCTCTTTCTGGTCTCACTAGGAGATACCACTGCTACTTGGGACTGTAGTAACTTTGGGGGCCAAATTTGTACACTCTGGTTGGGTGCAGAGATTTTTCTTTTTTTTTGGCTTAAAAATTTTTTTGTTTGTTTGCAAAGATGAACTGAGAGATCTGGCGTCTTACAGAGTAGTTAAACAAAAAGCCAAAATACTGGTCTAAATCTAAGAATGAAGAACCATAATTGCTATATATTATTAAGTATTAAAAAGGCACTTAAAAAAAATAAAGGGCAGGGAACTGAAAGAAATAAAAAAAGCACAGTCAAGCAAATGAAAATTACTCATGATGTTATCAATCAGAGATAACCACTGTTAACATTCCAGTCTTTTTCTACGCTTTTTTCTCAATATGTAACTCTGTTCTAGGTAAAGTTATATATCCTCATCTTTGTTACATATTATAAATATTTATCTAAATCACTTAAAAGTACTACATAACCATTTTAATGAGTTCTTAATATGTCAAAATAAAGATACAAGAAAATTTTAATCCTTTCCTTATTATTGAACATCTAGGAAGTTTGCAACTTATTGTGATGTTGTGATTAAAATCTCCATACATAAATCTTTGTCTAATTCTCTGATTAGTTCCTTAGGGGGGAAAAATATCTAAAAATAGAAGAACTAAAGGGATGCCTGGGTGGCTTAGTTTAATTAAGCATCTGCCTTTGGCTCAGGTCATGATCCCAGGGTCTGGGATCAAGTCCCTCATTCAGCTCCTTGCTCAGCAAGGAGCCTACTTCTCCCTTTTCCTGCTTGTGCACTCTCTCTTTCTGATAGATAGATAAATAAATAAATAAATACAATCTTTAAAAATAAAGGGACTAAGAATAAGCACTTTTAAAAAGCAAGATATATGCTGTCAAATTTCTTTTTAGATTGATTACATCTAGGTACACTCTGTTGTCAGCTGTGTACAGAAATGACCTCTTCCCACAGACCCTGAAATGGATAAAATAATAATCATTATAAAAACGTTTTCCTAATTTTGTAAACAATTCATATTCCTTTGATGACTAATTCATTGCATAGTTTTTCATTTTATAAAACATTTATATTTCTTTGGTTAAATATCTGTGTGGGTAGGTTTTTCAACTTATTTTCTTTTGCTTGTGAAGTTGCAGAATGTGGAAGTGAGCATTTCCACTGTGAAGATGGGCAGTGTATCTCTGCATCCTGGAGATGTGATGGGACCAGAGACTGCTTAGATGATTCGGATGAAATTGGCTGCCGTAAGTGAGGAGGGGCTGGGCTAAGCTCTTTTCAAATAACAGAAGTGCTTCCTGGTGAATTCAGCTGTACCAAAGGCAAAGAGTTGTGCCTTTAGTGATAGATTTGAGACTGGGCTTAAGTCTTTTGAGATCTCTGTGGTTGAAGAGAACTGATGGAATTAAGCATTCCATTAGTTCCTTTTGAGGGAGGGGTTCAATTCACATGAGTTTCTGTCTTACCCATGACCTTGACCATGACCATGACGATGACCATGATACTGAAACAAATTTGTGAGTAGTTTTCTGAAGCCTATAAGCCTGTTTCAGATTATTCACTCTGGAAATTTTGTGGACCAACTATGATTTGTAATGCAAGGAGGAGTCTGTTTTTGTATAAAGGATGTAGTATAACTTAGGTAAATTGCACAAAAAGATCACAGAAGAGGCTAGTGTGGTTTTATGTTTAAAAAAATTATAGTTCTCATAACCGGAGGAAACGGACTGAGGGCTGCTGGAGGGGAGTGGGCTGGGAGAGATGGGGTGACTGGGTGATGGGCATTAAGGAGGGCATGTGATACAATAAGCACTGGGTGTTGCAGATGAATCACTGAACTCTACCTCTGAAACTAATAATACATTATATGTTAATTAGTTGAATGTAAATAAAATAAAATAAAATTTAAAAAGAGGGAAATCCATTGAACTTTTCAGAACCTCAAAAAATTATAGTTAAAAACACAGTAGTATTTTAAACCCAAAGTTTAATTAAAAAATCACTTTTACATGTATTTCTTCATTTAGTTCTCTTAATATTTTGGGGTAGGTTTCAGATTAGGAAACAAAGGTATAGTGAAGTTAATTCATCCATTAAAGGCTTCTTTCCTGCACAAATCCCAACCCTTAATATTTGTTGCTTTCTCAGCTTGCTGTATGTGATTAGTTGTACTCTTGTAATTTCATTCATTCTGATTTGTGAAAGACAAGGGTTATCATCCAAAACTCAAGAAATTTATTAGTTTTGAATTGTTGGCCATCCAGTGGACAACGGAACAAACTTTGGTGTGTCGTTTGGATCATGATGCATTTGAAAATGAGAGAAGGATGGGGAATAGGTCTGTACAGTACTTCTCAAACTTTCATGCACAAATGGAGTGCCTGGGGAGCTTATTAAAGTGCAAGTTTTGCATCCATGTTTGGAGTGGGACCTGAGAGTCTGCATTTCTACAAGCTCCCATGTGATGCTAGTGCTGCCAGTCTGTGAATCACATTTTGAGCAAGGGAATAACTCTATTTGTAGAGACATGGTTATGTGTTAGCCATTCACTTCCTCTGGGCTTCCCAGGTTCATTTTAGGTTAAATACTAAAAGCAGAAAAGCAAGAAATGTGTATTCTGGGATAGAGGAATAAATGAATAGGTATACAAACATCTCTTTAGAGATTGTTAATGTAATGATGATGTTCCGTAGCAATGGCCATAACAATGGTGCCAATGACAGTAGAGATAGCAACTAACATTATACTGCATTTCCACATTTATTATTTAACTGATTTTTTTATAGCAAAGAATGAGACAAATATAGTTCCCATTTTATGGTGCGTACATGGAAGCTCAAAGAAACTGCCAAAGATCATAAGGCAAGAAAATTGTAGAAATAATAATTATTCAATTCAAAACATTTCACATAATTTAACAATAACTCATGGTTAATTTTTATTTAAATTTAATAGATTTTGTCATAGCTTTGTATGGATGTGTTTTGGCTGTTTGTTTTATCCTTTGTAGTTGTGTGTTGCTTTGGACTGTCAGTTTGTCGTGAGGCCATTGCTGAGATTATGCAGGAGTCCACAGATTCTTGCAGGGATTGTTCACTATATATAGCAAATATATTAAGCCGGAGTTAACATAGATTCTTTTGAAATAAACACTGCTTGTTGGTATAGTAGGGTGACTGTTTGACATAATGAGTCCTTTTCTGATTTGTTTTAGCTCCCCCTTCTTGCAAGTCGGACCAGTTCCTGTGTCAGGGTGAAGGTCTGTGCATCCCTAACTTCTGGGAGTGTGACGGTGACCAGGACTGTGAGGATGGCTCAGATGAACATCAGCGTTGTCGTAAGTGTTTATAAGAGGGATTTTGTTTTGGCCTCCTAGACACCTAATAATCTAACCTGTTACAAAAGCATTAACAATGGGATGATTTATAAATGCTGAGTGGGAACTTAATCAACAGGAGAACCTATGCTGCAGTTGCACTCAGGGTTAGAGGATACTGAGAGTCTGAATGTGCCGAAGAGTTATAAACGTACCCCAGCTGTTTGGAAATAGGATAGGTTCCCAATATTTAATTAAGATTGTGTTACATTCAATAAAGACACAAAACATTTCTTGGTATCTATAGGTGGGGTCTTCCTTTGTGTGGTTGGCAGTGGGATGGATCCTTTTGCTCCTGCAGTGCACTCTCCAGTGAAACCTTCTCTCCATTCTGCCTCAGTATTAAACTATCTTACTTGTGATCAAGTGGAAGTGCAGCTAGTAGCTAGGTCTGTTGGAGACAGTGTTGGTTATTGCTTCAGTGACTGCTGGTAGAGTCTGCATAGGATGAGCCACAACGAGAAGGAAGATGGTAGCCATCAGGATAACCTTGGCAGTTGCTGCATTCCTGGGCCCTGAGGAGGTTCAGGGCAGCAAACTGGGAGAAACTCTTAAATTCTGATTTCTTTGGGCTCGGACTGGAAAAGGGTTTGACATGGGCATAAATAACTTGGATGAGAGAGTCATCTTGGGAAAGCATTGTGAGAAATATGCCATGTGTATCATTCTTTTGCTTTCTCTGTAAAGGATATTTATATAATTTAAAATTATTCCTGTATCAATGAGGATGTTTTTGGCTGCAAAGAATTAAAAACACTACTCAAAAAAGTTAAGCAAAAGGGGAATTTATTATCTTACACAGTAAGAAGCCTAAATCTAGTGTTGTTCCAGGGTTGATTAATTCCCAGTATCAGTAACATCAGCCAGTTTTTCTCCCACTTTTCTGCTCTGCTGCCTTCAGCCTGCTGGCTTTCTGTGATGGCATGAAGGCTGTAGAAGTCCTGGATTTTACATCCCTCTAATTCTAATCTGAACATCTAGAAGAGAGAATATGATATTCTTTCCCCATGTATATTTTTAAATGATACTCCCCTCCCCAACAAAAAAGAAGACCCCCAAATAAAAAAAACAAAGCCCTTTTAGAAGTCTAGGTTGGACTGAGATGGAAATTGGAGAGAAGATATCAGACTGTCAGGAACCACCTCAGGCTCTTGACCCCAATTGTCCTGTGAAGGAGTCTAACTCTCGTCATTGTGTGGTGTTTACCTTTGAGCCTACTGCACATTCTGTTACAGTAAATGCACACCCCACAAAATCATGGACACTTATTTTCACTTTGTGTTGATTTTTAAGATGTCAGCCAAGATCCTGTTGGCATTTTTACAGTGATTGTTGACAAAGATCAAAGAAGAAACATGTTCTTGATGACTGCTTCATGTGAGAACTTGTTCAGTTGTTACGTGACTAGCAGTGGAGATTCTGTCGCCTTAAGTAGGGCCTGGATACATTTATAAAAGCTTGGAATTTAGCCCAGGACTTTGGAGTCCAGCATTGAGTGTGAACTCTTTTCAGTCAGGCCAAGGGTCTTTTGAGGAAGAGAATAGAAATCCCCCAAATGCCCATGAGTTCGACTTTGATTTAAACCTAAAATGAAAACTGTATAATTAAGCAGCCTGTTAGGGCTTGTCAGTAGTGGTCAGGGGTCTTTCAGCAAAGGGATGGTGATATTTGGGACAAAATGATTAAGGGGAAACTAGCAAACTATGTAGGGCCATGGAGGTGACAAATGACAGTTCCGAGGAAGGCATGGACAGGAGCTAATCAAGGCCAACCAGGAGCATGGCATGTCCAGATGAGGTCCGGTTGTGTGTCAGGATGTGAGGTGGAATGGCAAAAAGGGAGACCAGATCTGAAAGAGGGAGATGGGGCATGGTATCTCACAAATACTGAACAGTGGAATTGAAATGGTCAGGCATAGTAGGGCAACGGAAAAAAACCTTTGTTTGTAGGAAACAATTTTCCTATCCCCTCAGTGGTCCTACTGGAAAGAAGGGATCATCTGCAGATAGTGAGTACTCAGTGGGAACAGGATGGGGCTAAATCGTGAATGTCTGGAGAGCGGTGACTATGCTTTATTTAGATTGCATCTTTAAGACTTGTTATTTTGTCTAGCAGATAGTAGGTTCTTGATGGGTACTGAATGAATTAATGAATGATGGGTTACTTATCTTTTGGCTAGATATGCCATTTTGGTTCCATTTTTCCCTTGCTTCCCATGCAAAGTAGGAAGAAAGCTGAGCTGTAGATTGTGATACTATGTAGTGGATGACCCCTTGCTAATAATAATACTTTTCAGAGGGGATACAGATTCCTAAGTTAGAACAACTTGGAATAAAGATACTTGGGAATAGAGATGGAGAAAACTTTATCGCAGTAATTTATAAGCAATGTTACATACCATTTTAAATGACTATGGATTTCCTAAGGTAAATCTTACGTTTTTTTAAAGAAGATCTTGTATTTATTTGAGAGAGAGAATGAGAATGACTGTGGGAAGGGGTAGAGGGAGAAGGGCTCGATTCCAGGACCCTAGGATCGTGACCTAGCTGAAGGCAGACGCTTAACCGACTGAGCCACCCAGGTGCCCCTAATTCTTGCATTTAAAAAAAAATTTTTTTTTTTTTTTAAATTTGACAGACAGAGATCACAAGCAGGCAGATAGGCAGGCAGAGAGAGAGGAGGAAGCAGGCTCCCGGCTGAGCAGGGAGCCCGATGTGGGGCTTGATCCCAGGACCCTGGGATCATGACCTGAGCTGAAGGCAGAGGCTTTAACCCACTGAGCCACCCAGGCGCCCCATAATTCTTGCATTTTTAATGATAGAAAATTCTTTATTAGACATCCGTTAGCTACAGAATATGCCACTGCTGTGTTCACTAAGGTCACCAGAGAACTCCTGATTATCAAGCAGAGTGTATACTTTTCCTTTTTCATCGTTGGATGAACTTTTCTATTGCATTTGACTCTGGCAATCACTCTCTCCTTCTTGACACTAGTACCTTGGCTGCCGTGACTCCTCACTCTCCAGTTCTTTCCTGAACTGCTTTGATCTGCTACCGAGCCTGTGAGTATGGCTGTTACTTAGAGCCGTGCACTTAGCAGCTCTTCTTAGTCTCTACTTTTCCAGGATAATTTCAACCAATCTTAGGATTTCAGTAACTCTGGATAGGCTGATGATACCCAAATCTATGCTTATGACCTAGATTTCTTGCCCTCACTTCAGTCTTATATAATACAACTACCTGTTGAAGATCCTCAGGATGCTTCAAGTTCAAGTGTCCAAAGGAGTTAATCATCTTCTCCCCTGGCCTGGTTTTTCCTTCTATATTTTCTGGTCTACGTGAATTATCTTTTCATAGAAATAAAATTAACTTACTATAAGGGACCAGCAGAAAATACAACATCAGCCTCAAACTATTAGAAGTAGGCAGATCTGGGGCGCCTGGGTGGCTCAGTGGGTTAAGCCGTTGCCTTCGGCTCAGGTCATGATCTCAGGGTCCTGGGATCGAGTCCCGCATCGGGCTCTCTGCTCAGCAGGGAGCCTGCTTCCCTCTCTCTCTCTCTCTCTGCCTGCCTCTCTGTCTACTTGTGATCTCTGTCAAATAAATAAATAAAATCTTAAAAAAAAAAAAAAAAAGAAGTAGGCAGATCTAAGACATTTTTCTTGTTAATCTGGAATATTATAAAACATATTTCATGATGAAGGCATTTTATTGGAGGAAATATAAAGATGGCTGTCAGTGACATTAAAGATATAATCAGTTAGCATGGAAAGGATATCCTAATCCCTTAGGTACCTGAGCTAGAAATTTGGAATTATTTTTGATTCTTCTACCCATATTTAGTCACCAACTCTGGTCTAACATCTCTAAAAGTTCACCTCTTTCCCATTTTTATCACTACTGCCAGCAGTCTCTCTCTCTCTCTCTCTCTCTCTCTTTTTTTTTTTTTAAAGATTTTATTTATTTGACAGAGAGAGTGAGAGAGGAAACACAAGCAGGGAGAAGCAGGCTCCCCGCTGAGCAGGGAGGCTGGTGCAGAGCTCCATCCCAGGACCCTGGGATCATGACCTGAGCCAAAGGCAGACGCTTAATGACTGAGCCACCCTGGCGCCCCAGTGCCAGTAATCTCTTATCTGGGTGACTGCAACAGCCTATGGATTGGCCTCCCTGCCTCTAGCCCTGTGCCTCCTCGGGTTCTCCCTGACACTGATGCTAGAAAGATTTGACTAAATCCCTAAAACATTTTGGTGTGTATCACCTCAAGAAGAAACCTCCAACTCCCTAACGTGGTTTACGGTGGCTTCTAAGCTACAGCTGGTGCTTTTTTTTCCATGTCTATCACTTGGCCGTTCATGCCTTGAAATTTCCACGTGGGGTCACATCAGTGCTCATAGTTCCCTTGGGCATGTCATGCAGTGTCCCTCTTTGAGCTCTGTGCATGCTGCCTGAATGCTCGTTGCTAGAGAGTCCTTTTTCCCTTTTGACCTAGCTAACCTAGCCGCCTCTCCTGTAGGACCCAGGTGAGGTATTACCTCTTAAAGACACTGTCCCTCTTCATGCTCTTACCTCAGAGTGAATTAGGCACTCCTCCCTGATCCTTCTATAATTAATTCCTTGGATGCCTGTACTTCATTTTCATCATTGTTTTCTCATTAATTCTTTTTTTTTTTTTTTGGAAGCAGGCTTCCCGCTGAGCAGAGAGCCCGATGCGGGGCTCGATCCCAGGACCCTGGGATCATGACCTGAGCTGAAGGCAGAGGCTTTAACCCACTGAGCCACCCAGGCGCCCCTCTCATTAATTCTTGAAGTGTTTTCTAGAAAATAGTGAGCTCCTTGAGGGGAGGGGCTGTGCCTCATTCACCATTGTATTCCCATTGTTGGTATACTTTGTGGCATGTAATAGGCCCTCAGTAGATGTTTATGTAACGAGTAAGTGAATCCTAGCATCAGACTGGTTGATGGATCCATATAATTTTATCATTTCTCTGTTTGAATGAGCTTTTAATTACTCCCTCCTAAACCCCTTTGAAATTGTAAGCACAAAGTATAGAATTGCTTTGGGCTTCAGTTTAAGAAGAAAGCCAAGAGACTTAAAATAATATTGGCACTTGATTTAGTTTTTCTTCATATTTTGTTTGAAAAGCTGTTTTGGGAATAAAAAAAGTTCTTTAATTTTATGTGGAAATTGGCAATATATACTTAAGTATTATAGGGGCATTTAATGAGGAAGTATTAATCTTTTTAGCCTTACTTAGATAAAATTGTGTCTACTCTGGGCAGAATTCAGACATTTAAGTGACTTCTAGAAAAGTTGTTCCATCCTAATTTTATTAATACAAGGTACTGGGAGAAAATATGAAATTATACTGTCAAAGTGTCAGAAATTGACTGGAAAAAAAATCTTGTTTGCTATTAAAGAATTACATAACACATTTATAATGAACTAATTGTATTAAACAAAGAAGGAACGAGATGACATGAAAGGTATAATCAGTTAAGCATGGGAAAGGGTGCTAATTATGGATAGTTTTTAATGTCTTACTTATCACATGGTAACCTTTATATGTTTGAATCTTCAAGTATCAACTCTAAAGCTGTGATTGATTATCCACTTGTCTTTTAGAAAGGTTTTTCTTACAGTTAGATGATGGCACACCACTTAACACATGCTTAATCTCACCAGAAAACCAAAAATTTTTTTTTTCAGAAAACCAAATTTTGCTGAACTTGAGTATCATTACTATATAGAAGTATAGGAAACTGTAAAAATTCAGGGGAAAATTTTTTTATTGCATTCGATGATTGTAATTTTTTTCAGTGGATCACATTTTCCCCATTCCCCAAATCCCATGATAATTCCTGCCCTGGGCTTACAGAACAGCTTTCACGTGATGCGTGTAGCCTCAATTCCTTAGATTTGATCTGTTTTATCCAGAGGCAAATTTGATAAACTACCGATGACTTGCTTTTGCTTAGTGTGATCAACATAGGATAAAAACAGGCTAGTTAAAGTTGTTTATAGAAGTGATACACATTCAATGTAGAAAGTACTCTAAAGACTACTAAAGTACTCTAAAGAGTACTAAAGAGATTTTTAGTACCCTAAAGAGTACTAAAGAGTAGAGAGAACTCTAAAGAAAAAAGTCACCCATACTTTTATCACTCAGAAATAATCACTGTTATAACCCTTTGGCATATATCCTTCTTGTTTAAACAAGTATTTCAGTGTTTCAGTGAGGCGGAACCTTACTGATCCCCAGCTCCTACGTGTATGTGCAAAATTCTTTCATTCCTTTTATCATATAGGTTATTGTATTCTCAACACATGTTGATAATATAATTGTCTACACCAACATGCCTGAGTGTTGATGTGATTCCATGAGCATTTTTTTTTTAAAGATTTTATTTATTTATTTGTCAGAGAGAGAGAGAGTGAGCACAGGCAGACAGAGTGGCAGGCAGAGGCAGAGGGAGAAGCAGGCTCCCCACAGAGCAAGGAGCCCGATGTGGGACTTGATCCCAGGACGCTGGGATCATGACCTGAGCCAAAGGCAGCTGCTTAACCAACTGAGCCACCCAGGCGTGCCCCATGAGCATTTTTTTTTAAAGATTTTATTTTTGTATTTTAGAAACAGTGAGAGCGAGAGTGAGAGAGAGAGCACATGTGTGCATGGGTGAGCCCGAGTGGGAGGTTGGGGCAGGGGGAGAAAAAGGAGAAGGAGAGAAACAAACTTCCCTTTGAGTATGCTCTCTGAGTGTGGAGTCCCTGCTTCGGGGCTCAGTTTCAGGAGTCTGAGATCATGACCTGAGCCAGAATCAAGAGTTAGATGCTTGACTAACTGAGCTACCCAGGCGCCCCAATTCTGCGAGCATTTTAATAGTATCCTGATGATACCTTGACTTTTGCGTTGTGAGCTGTCTACCTTGGTGTAGCTGGGTAACCTGCTTTCTGAGCCTATGAACTTTATGCTCAATATATTCTCTTGCCTTTGCTTTCACATTTCCTCGCTCATCTTTGGTAAATGGATTGGTCTGTCTTTGGCAGTAATTATAAAGTAATATCTTTTCCCCTTCACAGCTGGGAGAACATGCTCAAGCCATCAAATTACATGCTCCGATGGTGAATGTATCCCAAACGAATACAGGTGCGACCACGTCAGAGACTGCTCAGATGGAACTGACGAGAAAGACTGCCGTGAGTCCCTTTCAGTCTTTGCACTGTATTTGCTTTCCCCCTTTGTCCCTTTGGCATTTTAATCAATTTGTTAGATTTGTTGATGGACAGAAATGCCTACAATATGCCTCTTGTTATTGAAATCTCTTGGCAGATTCTTTTGTGGATTAGAGGTGATATTCTGATAGGAGACTATTTTTAGCAAGACATTCTAAGTGTGTCCTGCCTTAGCACATCAAATTTCTGTATTTTTTTGAAGTAAGGGACTTTTAACATTAACATAGAATCCTGAAAGGTCACCGAATACATTGACTATAAGATCCAGTTTTGTCAATTTTGGGTTTTTTTTAAATTAATGGTGAATTTCTGGGTAAAATGTCTCATTAATTTTTCTGCTCTTATGGACTCAGTATTTTCCAGTTTGGAAAACAGTTACATTTTGAAAATGGCTTTCTCCATTGGCAGCATATTACATCAGTTTGCATCTGATCACCACAAGATAAGGCATAGAAATCCCAGTATTCTATGGTCTAATGTTGAGATTTTTACCGTAACCAAAATACAAGAGGGTAGTCATGGTGTACCGTGAACATCTTAAAAATTTTAAGTAAGGAGTAATCTGTCCCTCTTGAGATTTATGTGGAATTGTTAGATTACAAGAATATAGAAATTACTCTACTGTGTCAGTAGGCCTGTAGTCAGTCTAATTGAGGTCCATCAATCCTGTGGTCCATCTATGTCTTTAGCTTTAGACATACCTAGTTTTGCTTAAAAGCCCTTGCAAACATATCACGTACGAGTTTATCCAGAACTCCCTTGAGTTTTTATGCATTTTTTCCTGAATTTCATTTGACAGGGTGCATTTCATAAGTTTACTGTGAGCTGAGTGATGTTACTTTCTTTTGCTCTTAAATTTGTGCGTCAAACTTAGGGAGTTGTTTTAATATTCGGTATTCCAATCATCAGTGGCTAGATTTTGTGTCCCTTAGAAAACTTGATCACAGACTTCTTAGTTATTATGTCTCCCACTGAGATTTTAGTTTTAGTTCATTCTTATGGGACACCTCCTCTACTGTTGGGTCATTTTGATTTGATTTAGTTTTCTGGCCTGTTCCTAAATTTCTTCCTTTGGTTCAAATGCTATATTTTAAGTTTCTTTCTTTCTTTTTTTTTTTTTTTTTAAGATTTTATTTATTTGTCAGAGAGAGGGAGAGAGAGTGAGCGAGCACAGGCAGAGTGGCAGGCAGAGGCAGAGGCAGAGGGAGAAGCAGGCTCCCTGCTGAGCAAGGAGCCAGAAGTGGGACTCGATCCCAGGACGCTGGGATCATGACCTGAGCTGAAGGCTGCTGCTTAACCAACTGAGCCACCCAGGCGTCCCATATTTTAAGTTTCTTTTTGAGAAGACCATCTTCTGTATATTTTGGTCCATTTCTCAATCAGGTGCTATGCCCTTGGGTGGGAGCTAACGTAAACTGGTTATTAGCAAATCATTCCTGTTTCACTATACTGTTCAAACTGTACTCTTCATGGAAGGAATACTATTATATGTGAAAAGGAAAGGTCTGGGTCCAAACAGGTCCAGATTCATGTTGCATCCACATCATTATCACAGAGTGCATTTTATTTTTTTAAAGATTTTATTTATAGAGAGAGAGAGAGTGAGTGAGAGAGCGAGCACTAGGAAGAGTGGGGAGGGGCAGAGGCAGACTCCCTGCTGAGCAGGGATTACGATCTGAGTTGAAGGCAGTCACTTAACCAGCTGAGCCACCCAGGCACCCCCGCACACGGAGCATTTTAAGAAACACCTCTTCTCCTTCATGCTTTCTTTTTTTGGGTCTATTTTTCTTTGAGAGGACGCTGTGCAATTTGTCTCTGTGTCTCCATTTCCTAGCAGAATTGCTGGTACAGTTGTGTTGTATAATTTCCAATTTAAATGTTCTCTTGGAAAGAGATTATGTTGCCTCTAATTTGGGTCTCTTTTCTTTTTTTAAGATTTTATTTACTTATTTGACAGAGAGAGAGAGACTTCGAGAGAGGGAACACAAACAGGGGTAGTAGGAGAGGGAGAAGCAGGCTTCCTGCTGAGCAAAGAGCCCAATGCGGGGCTCGATCCTAGGACCCTGGGATCTAAGCTGACCTAAGCTGAAGGCAGATGCTTAACGACGGAGCCACCGAGGCACCGCGGGTCTCTTTTCTTTTTTCCTTCCTTCCTTCCTTTTTAAGATTTTATTTATTTATATGACAGAGAAAACACAAGTAGGCAGAAAGGCAGCCAGAGAGAGGGGGGGAAGCAGGCTCTCCATGGAGCAGAGTCCGACAGGGGCTCCATGCCCCGGACCCTGAGATCGTGACCTGAGCCAAAGGCAGAGGTTTAACCCACTGAGCCACCCAGGTGCCCCCCCGCCTTTTCACTTTGAAAATTTAGACTTAGAACTTAGACTGTAACTGGCAGTTACAGAGATGGTAGTGTCTGTCTGGATGTCACAAAATAACAAGTCCATGAGTCAAGGCCTCTCAGTACTTTGTAAAGCAAGCAATAGGTTCTTCATTGTGGCAAGTGAAAAAATTATTTTTGATTAATAATAGCGATGGTTCACATATTTTATAGTATTTTATAAACTGGTAAGTGTTATATAAATTTTGGTTATTATTCTTAATTAGGTTCCTCAATGAGGACAATAGGGCAGGTGTTAGTATACTCTCACAAATAAAGAAACGGAGACTGAGAAGAGCAGAATGGCTCGTTCAAGGTTGTACAATGTGTGGCAGTGCTAGGGCTAAATCCAGCTTCTGGTTCCAAGTCTGGTGATCGCTTTTCATGAAGGACTTTATTTACAAAAGGAGAAAGTTCTAGTTTGTGCAAGTTTAAGAGAGAACCAGAGGCTGTGCCACAAGCCAACAGTCTGTGTCTTTATCCCTAATTTACAAGTGGATAAAAATGAGTGCTTTATTGGAAATGCAATGGGAATGAAGGAAATACTACTTTGGGGAAAATAAAAGGCAGCTGAAACAGACTGTTTGGATTTATTCCATGTGAACACCCCGCAGCCAATTCTAAAGTCACCAGTACAACTGCCCCACGGCTTTGCCAATAGACCTTCCGGAAAAAAGCTGGCAGTGTATGAGCATACAAGCAGCTGGTATAGAAAGGAATGAAGAAAAGGAAGTGAGTGAGCTTTATAAAATATCTGAGCAGGAATTTTTAATCAAGTTTTTATTTGTTTTTTTAAGTACAAGGAATAGGTGAAACAAGGATTTGTTATTAAGGAAAGAGAGCCAGATTTAGATGATAGTTAATTGCTCCTGGAATCGTACAAGTCATGAATTCTTCAGGGCTCATAGCCCTGAGATGAATCTGACGCGTGTAAATGGGTTTTATAATGAAGTATTCTTTCCTATTTCTCTTTGCCTTGTTTATTTATCACTATGTGTTCCTTATGCAGGAATACAAAAAAAAGTCTAACCAATCAGGAAATTAAGAAAAGAATCTTCATACTTCTTTGTGCTTTGATCTCCTGGCCACAGCCAGATAGGGACAAGAAAGAAATGAATGGCCCGGGTCAAAGTCTTTAGAAAGTGCTAATATAGAGAGACAGATTGGCCTCATTTTGTTTTCCCTCTTTGTTCGGAACACTTGTGGAAAATGGGGAAGGGAATTGCCATTCACTGGGCACCAGCCCCTGTTTTGTGCAATTTTTACATTAATACCACAAGGTGGGTGTGATGACCATCTCTTTACAGAGATTATAAAGATTGTCAAGAATCAAGTGTGGAGGAGCCAGGCTTTTAACCTAGGTGTAAACCCTATGCCCATGCTTTTGCAATACTTTTCTTTAGTAATGGGAGTTTACAGAATATTTTTGCCTGAAGGTTACTTAACTATTTTATCATTTAAAAATTACTGTTTAAAGCTTTTTACTTTGGAAGGTTTTAAACAAAATCAAAAGCAGGGTGAATTGTAAGATGAACTCCTTTGTACTCATCACTCAAGTTATATCAGTTACCAACGTTTATAGCTAATTTTGTCTTATCTATAGAACTCTATTCTTCTCCCCATTATTTTGAAGCAGTTCTCACAAATCACCTTAATTCTATCTTTAAATGATTATTTATCTCCAAAACATATGGACGAAAACCTAGCATAACATGACAATATCATGACCATACCTAAAAGTTAACAACTGTTCTTTAAAATAATCAATTCTTAAAATTTCCCCAGTGGCTTTTTATTTTTTATAGTATCATTTAAAATCAAAGTCCAAATAAAATTTATGCATTGGAGTTAGTTGCTGTCTTTAGACTTGAAAGTTTGCCTTCCGTTTCTGTTTTTAACTCCTTGCAGTGTTTTTGTTGAAAAAAACCAAGCTACTTGTCCTGAGTTTCCCACAGTCTGGGGTTTGCTCATTGCCACCCTTGATATCCTTTAACATGTTTATCTGTCCCTTATATTTTTTGGAAATTGGTAGCTAGATCTAGAGCAAGGTTTGTCAGCCTTGGTGCCAGTGGCATTAGCAGCCAGATAATTCTTTACCACCGGGCGGTGTCTAATGCATTGTATCATGTATAACCATATCGCTGGCCTCTGTCCACTAGAAACCAGCAGCCCTCCCATTTATGACAACCAAAAATGTCTCCAGACGAGGCTAAATGTCCTCTGGGAGCTAAATCTCCCACCTCTGCTCCAGCTGAAAGTAACATTAGTCTAGAGGCTTGAAAATGCAAGGATTTCTCTCTCTCTCTCTCTGTGTGGAGGGGCAGAAATACTTTGAATATAAAGACACGTATTTCCACTGGGAGGCATATAATGTCTAACTCAGCCATTGAGGATGGTTGCTAAGATGCCTTTAGTCATAGAGATACTTAACTATTTTAAACATCCCTTCAGGTATAGAGTAGCTGTTTATTAGTTGTTTTAAATTGGAATGTTAGAATATGATGGATTAGTCAATCTTGCCCAGAGATCATTTTTGTGAGGTATGACACTTTATTCTGTTGTTTCTGTGTCCTGATGCATGGGGATC